GTGAGGTTTATGGTGATGTGGAGCAGAATTTGGTCGTGCTGGTAGGAGCCAGGGGGTTCCCACCCTGTCTTTGCACCCTGGGGCACAGCCCCATTACCTCCACTTCCATGAAAGCTGGTAAATAAGGTAGAATTGGCTCTGGTGGTGTAAACCAACCCCCCCACCCTGAGTGTGCCCATTGTGTCTCCACTCCACCAGCACCTCTGTGCCATGGGGGCACACAGCTGCCACCTGCCAGAGGGGCCCTGCTTGCCAAAATGTGAGGGTTTGGGGGCACTTTACAAGGCTGTTGCAGAGGGGTGGATGCCACCCTTCCTGCCCCATGTCCTCCCAGTCAGTGGTGGATACTGTTGCTCCCACAAGATGTTGTACTTGATTTTAGGGAAACTACTGCCCTTCTCCAGCCCTGTTGTGACAGTGCCATGGCTTTCATTAGGGGATTTCCCATGCTGGGTATGGTTTGGGGTCCTGTGGGATGCTGCTATGCTGGGTTTCAGTGTGGGCTGGGAACTTTAGGGGTGTTTGGTGAGGTGTAGAGCATTTTGGGGGTAAAAAGTACCTTGTAGGGTGCCCCACAGGGCTATTTCCTGGTTGCTGGTCAGCGCAGGTGCTGTGGGGGGAGGACAGGAGGGAGTTTGGTGGGGGTAGCTTGTGGCTGTTCTCTGCTCAGCTTGTGTTGCTTCCCTGGGGAGCTTCTTCCATGCTGGAATTCTACTGCTCTCTGTATCCAGAGAACAGCTTGGTGTATTGAGTCTCCCTCTAAAGGAATGATAAATACATTTTTTCCAGTGTTGTTGAGAAAGTAGGAACCCCATTTAGGTCTCCTCCTCTCCCTCATATGTCCCAGGGGTGAGGCCTTGCTCTTTCATCCCTTGTGTCTCTCCTTGGAGCAGCTCACTGAGATGGGAAGGGCTCCTTGGGAAAACTGAGGATGAATAGAGAAAAAAAAACTACTATAGCAGAAGGTAACAGGCTCCATTGTGGAATTCGAAGCAGCTGCATCCTGAGAGGGCTCTGTGCCTGGGCAGGGAATATGGGATCTGCTCCTTCCAGCACGGGGCACCCGTGCTCCTTCCTGTTTGCCCTGGGATGAGCAGGATGGGATGAGATGGGGGCTGGCAGGGCTTGATCCCATGAGCTCCTCAGGCTGGTCCAGCCCTGCTCGTGTCAGGAGATATGGGATGCACGTGCAGTGCTCTGGCTGTGTGAAACACAGAGTGGGCTGGGCCCAGGAGCATCCCCAGGAGCTTCTTTGGGTTCCGCTTCACAGGCAGCGGCATCTGAGGAGTCTGTGCAGGGGCAGTGGGTGCTCAGGTCCTGGGTGATGGGCTGATCCACTTCTATGCCCTCCTGAGCTCCTGAAGGCTTGGCTGAGGTGCTCATGGTGATGCCTCACATCTCACAACCTTCTTCCTTGTAGGGAGATATGTTGTGAGTAAGGAATCCTGTAAATAGGCTACAGGAAGACCTTAAAGGGACAGGAGAAGGGAGAATGGCTTCCCGCTGCCAGAGGGCAGGGTCAGACGGGATA